AGGAGGCTCTTGAGAGTCCCCAGGATTGCAAGGAGAACAAACCTATCAATTCTAAAGAAAATCAACCCTGAGTGCTCACTGGAAGGACAGATCCTGAAGCTGAGGCTCCAACCCTTTGGCCCTCTCATGAGAAGAGAGGACTCCCTGGAAAAGACCTTAATGTTGGGAAAATGTGAAGGCAAGAGGAGAAGGGGACAACAGAGGATGAGATGGTTGGACAGGGTCATCGAAGCAACCAACATGTATTTGTCCCAACTTCGGGAGGAAGTGGAAGACAGGAGGGCTTGGCGTGCTCTGGTCCATGGGGTCACAAAGAGTTGGACAGAATTTAACCACTAAACAACAACCAAGTTGCCACACCCAAGGTCTTTCACACACCCACACACCAGCCACCAAACTGCCAATATTTACCCTAAAATGGAGTTTCAGAACTTGGTCAAGATGGTCCTCATCACCCCATTCACCAGTTATTATTGCCTCAATGAACTGGATTCAAAATTAAGTTAAAATGAAGTTGGGTCCTGTACAATTCCATGAGGGGAGTGGATCATGTGGTGGGCAGTAAGAATAATAAAAACATGAGAACGGAGCAAAAGTAGCAAAGGGAAACCACAAACAAGAGGGTGGAGCAGCCAGCTTCCATGAAGGGGATCAGAGAGAAGGTCTGGATGGACCAAGATTTGGATAGGAGAATGGAGATTGAGGAGGCTTGGAAAGAGTAAAAGCAAAAGGGGAAGAAAGAGGCCATGGAGCCAGAGAAGTGGGAAAGTGGCTCTCTGCTTTTCCTTGATGCTCACATGTTTCAAGGGTAGCCTCGTCATGCCGCGGAAACGAGGGATTGTCCCCATAAACATTGATTTGATTAGGCATCCTTCTGTCTCGAGAGACTATGGTCACGTGCTCTGAATAGAGGACTTGGAACAGCGTCTCGTGTGGCTGAGGAGGCCAATTCGAGAGTGACCATCCCTTCCACCCTGAAGACAAATACAATCCATAAACATTGATGCAGAAAGAAACAGACGAAGATTCAAGCAAAGCCGGTTAAAAATGAGCACAAGGTGCCACTGGCAAGATACAAAAGTTAGGACGATCTGTACCAGAGAGAGAGAGAGGGCGGGGCGGAGGGAGAATGCCAGGAGCGAATACTAGCATCTCTGGAGAAGGCCTTCTTGTCCTGCTGTCTAAATGTTTGGGTAAACACGTTTTTCTCTTCGTTTCACACTCCTTTCTCCCTGGGTCACACATACACAGAGAGGGAAGACCTGCCTCCACTTGATACTCCGGAACCTCGAAAAAGAAGCATCTTCCGCCACTTGCAAATTTGGGGATTGAAGGGAGAGCACAGTAGGCACGAGGGGATGGTGCCGGTATCCAACATTCCTTTGATATAAGATCTTTGGTACAGGCCATTCTCTCTTAGTATTTGCATTTCTATTTCTCTAGGTTTTCCTCCCACCATTCTGTGTCAACGTTGATCTACGCTTGGATGTCCTTCTCTCCTCCCAACTACTGTCTGTTGGACAACCGCTGTGAAGAGACTCATCTGTGTTTGCATCCTCTGTGCCTATATCTCCCGCTCCCTCTTTCTCTCCCTTAATTACGTGCTGTCGATCATTTCTACGTCATAGCAACTCTCAGATGGTTTTCTTGGTGTGAAGTGTTCAGCCATGGTTACTAGAGGCATGTTATTTATGGGGAGTGGGACTGGGGGTGGGATTTAGGTGTTAGGTTTTTGTTTAATTTGAGTTTTTTTTTTTACTCCAGCTCCCAGAATTCTCCAAGAATTCCCCCAAGCAGAATTCTGGGAGTTCTGGCCCACAAACCTATACACACCTATATTTCACTCACCTAGAACTAGGCCTATCCTCCAGGCTTCTTGCCTTGCCAGGCCTACTCAAGCCCACTATTCTTAATGCACAGAAAGGAAACTGCTCGTTTGCTTCCTGGAAGGGCTAGGTTTTCATGGGAAGTGTAGTTCTTCAGGAGGTTCCCTCTCATTAGGTCCTAGGTCATAGGCCATGGAAATGTATTTCAGAGTAAACCTTGGTAGGCTTTGCTTCAAGAAAGCCTCTAGAACATGTTCCACTGTTGACCAGCTCGTACAATCAGGAAATTCAGCTGAAGTACATTGGTTTGGGTCTCACCAATCTTTCCGTCAGAGTGCCCCTCTTAGTTCCACTATCACAGAAACAAAAAGCTCCCTTTTTCTGAATAGGACATTTCCGTTCCAGGCGTTATGTTATTTCTCATTTAGTGGCTTAAATCCTGTTGCTTATCATAGTAAGTCACATGAGAAGAGGCCTGTTGAGTTGCAACTTCCTATACTAAAGGAAGTCACAATTAGAGTAGGCCTTTTTGAGTCAGCAGTACTTACAGAAGAGTTGACTCACTAACTCCTTAATCATCGTCATTGATTCATAGAATCACAAAAAAGTGACGTTGGAAGGGGCCTCCGAGGCCATCATGTCCAAGCTCCTGCTCAGTGCAGGAATACAGTGGTGCCTCGCTTTACGATTGCCCCGCATTGCGATGAATCCGCTTTACAATGATCTTTTTGCAATTGCGATCACAAAACGATGGTCTAAATGGGGGAATTTCGCTTTGTGACGATTTTCTAACAGCTGATCGGCAGTTTCAAAATGGCCGCCGGGTAATTAAAATGGCTCCCCGCTGTGTTTAGGGATGAATTCCTTGCTATACAGGCACTGAAAATGGCCGCCGTATGGAGGATCTTCGCTGCACTGTGAGTTTTAAGCCCATTGGAACGCATTGAAAGGTTTTCAGTGGGTTTCAATTGGCTTTTTATTTTCGCTTTACGATGTTTTCGCTTAACAGAGATTTTCCTGGAATGGATTATCACCGTTAAGCGAGGCACCACTCTACAATCAAAGCATATCTGCCAGGTGATTATATAAATTTCCCAACTTATTACGACAATTCCAAGATCCTTCTCGCTCATAGTTTTGCTGAGCCAGGTATCCCTCATCTTGCAATTGTGTGTTTGGTTTCTTTTTCCGAGGTGCAGGACTTTGCACTATCCCTGTTGAATTTCATTCTGTTGCTTTCAGCCCAGTGCACCATCCTATCAAGATCATTTTGAATTTTGTTTCTGTCTTCTAGGGCAGGGGTCCCCAACCCTCAGTCTGTGGCCCGTTGCCAGTCCATGGGCTGGGCCGGACTAGACCGGGGAGACAGATCTCCCTCCACACACATACTCCTGCCCCCTGCACAGCCCCTTTGCGCATGTGTGCAAGCGCACGCACGCAAGCACCATCCCACCCCTTCACAAGTGTGCTCAGTTGTCCCCCAAGTGGCCCTTCGCACCTGCATGTGAGCACACCTGCACAAGCACACACCCACTCCTTTGCTCATGCACACGAGCACGGGGGGGTGCCCTACCTTCCCCAACCGGTCCGAGGAGTTAAAAAAGGTGGGGACCGCTGTTTTAGGGTATTAGCTATTCCACCCAATTTGGTATAATCTGCAAATCTGACAAGCATTCCCTGCACTCCCTCATCCAGGTTATTAATAAAAATATTGAAGAACACCAGGCTCAGGATTGAGCCTTGGGGTACCCCACTCGTTACCTCCTCCCAGTCTGAGAAGGACCCCATTAATCCTCACCCTCTGAGTACAATTCTGTAGCCAACTGTATATCCACCTGCCCTCTGATCGATCCAGCCCATGATGTTGCTGTCATCACCATCTGAGAAGTGCTGAGCTGGAAGGGACCCTATGGATCATCAGATCCGGCCCCTGTCAAGGAGGCCCAGTGGAGGAATCGAACCTCTGGTTCCAAAGCCAGATACCTAAACCACTCAGCTATCCAGCAGTTCTACTAGGACAAGCAATAGGATTTCAGCCGACGTTACAGGAGTGCTTGTCAGGAACGATCACAAAAACTCTGCCTCCCATGCCAGCCCCTTTTCTGTCCTGCCAATGGTGCGCGAGAAAAACAAACAAATATTTTAAGCGGGTATCATTTCATCTCTCGGTCTCCAAATTAAACATGCTTGACTCCTTCGAGTTGTTTTTTTCTGATACTATACTTAGGACGTTACCCAGCTTTTTAAAAAAAGGATGCTACTTCCCAACAATGCCACCAGCCAGAGCTCAACCACGGGTGAGACACACAGAGAGGAGGCCTTCTCCAGCCCACCATGGTAAGGGTGGAGCCGTATGGGGTTGCAGGCCGATTAGACTGCAGAAGAGTGCTATTACACTAAGCTGGAACCTGAGGTTCCAAATGGTGGTGGTTCATCATCATCATCATCATCATCATCATCATCATCATCATCATGATGTGGGTGAAATCCAAAGATCTGTTCTAATGGCATGTAAATGATCAAAAACCCAAATAATGTTGTGCCATCAAGTCAAGTTTTCCAGGCAGAGAATATACAGAAAGGGTTGACCATTCGCTTCTTCTGGGGGAGGGGGGCGCCCTGGGATGACCCAAGCTTGCCCATGGCCACACCGGCTGGCTCTTCTCTTGGCAGGCCCACCAGGGGGATCAAACTTCCAACCTCTGGCTCTGCAGCCAGACACCCAAACCACGGAGTTATCCATTAATATTAAGAGTCCATTTAAACCCAAATAAATTTTAGTGTCACACTGAATATTGCCACAGTGCCCCTTTTCATACCCCCATCCTCACCACCTAAATGATGTGAAGCAGCAGCTGAGAAAAACAGCGTGACACGGGGAGCCACACAAGTCGTGGTATACAAATGGCCATAAACAGAGGCGGGAATGACCACGAAGCAGCCCTTGTTTAGCTTGTTCTGTGATGCTTAATTCTACACCTGGACATATTCCCACAAATCTTTGCTGCTCCGTGAGCTGTCCTCTTAACAGGAGTTAATAATAATAAAAGGAAGGAAGGAAGGAAGGAACCAACCCATTTCTCTAAACAGGAAATCCTTTTTGCTATCCATGTAATAACCCCACTTCTAGTTATCATGCTGCTGCTTTGATGATTCTTTAAAGAAGACAAATACCTTTATGAGAGTGTCTTGTCGAATCTTCCAGCCAACTCTCCACAAGCTTCCAATCAAGGGGAAAGGAAGTGGTCCGGGAGGAAACCGCCGTCGAGCCCACAGAAGCTTAACAAACTGTACAGCCAGCAGAGCGAGGAGAGTGGCGACAAGGAATCCACTTGGCCCCATCTTGACCGGACTGTTCTCTCACTGCTAAAGGTGTCTCCGAGAGATGTGTTAGATCATTGGTTCTGTTCCAAGACGGCAGCTTGCTGCTTCTCAGAGCTTCATGGTGTTGTGCTTATTCTTGTTTTATATCCTACTGCCTCATACAGGTGAGATGCTAGCCCAAGATGTATTGACTTGTAATTAGGCAGGCATACAGTCAAGGCTTCTGGCATCTTTTCAGATTCATTTACAGCCTAGGAATGTGGCCTTCATGATTTACGTCCCTTTGGCATGTGCAGGCTGAATTGTTAGATGTTCGGATGAAGCAAATTGCTTTGGGATCATATGACATACTAGAAAGTTTTTTTAATTTTTTTTTTTAAATGAAGCCTTCTCTTTCTAGGTTTCGGTAGTGCTCAGAGCTAAATGCAACATATGTGCCTTTTGTGATTTAATTTATCATTCAAAAATGCCAGGCACAGTCATTTAAAATTATAAAAAAATTGACTGGTAGTATATAACAGGTATAAGTTTTAAACAAAATAAAAAACCTATGTATCTGTTAAATATCGGCACACAGGATGTACGCTGTTCCGAATATTACTGTTTTTTGTAGCTCTGAGTGTGTTATTTTCTGAGATCTGCAGCTGCCTATAATACTGTGTGAAATGTCTTGGTATTGTTCCAAAAGCTCCAATAACTACAGGGACCACTGAAGTGTGTTTCAGCCACAAGCGAGCTGTTTCAATTGCCAGGTCTCTGTACTTTGTTAGTTTTTCCAATTCTTGATTTTCAACTCTGGCATCTCCTGGAATTGCAATGTCAATGATCCATTTGTTTGTTCTATTATTACTATGTCTGGTGTGTTATGTTCAAGGTGTCTGTCAATTTGGATCCAGAAATCTCACAAGACCTTGACATGTTTCAGCCACAAGCGAGCTGTTTCAATTGCCAGGTCTCTGTACTTTGTTAGTTTTTCCAATTCTTGATTTTCAACTCTGGCATCTCCTGGAATTGCAATGTCAATGATCCATTTGTTTGTTCTATTATTACTATGTCTGGTGTGTTATGTTCAAGGTGTCTGTCAATTTGGATCCAGAAATCTCACAAGACCTTGACATCATCATTTTCTGACACCCTCTCTACCTGATGTTCCCATGCATTTTTGTAGGCTGGCAAGTTATTTTTTTGCATAATGACCAGTGCACTAATTTTGCCACTCTATCGTATCTAATTTTGTAATCTATTTGTGCAGTCTTTGGACATTCAGAGATGAGGTGTGACACAGTTTCATCATGTTGAATTATGATCATGATTTCCATCAATATTTCTCGGGTGTAGTCCATGTAGTGGTTTATTTTTCCAGCTGTTTAATGTATTTTCAAATTGTTGTTTCTTATGTTGAGCCCTTGTTTCTGTTGTTCTTAAAATATTCTCCATTTTTACTGCCTTAAGTAATTTTTCTCTGCTTGTACTGATATCATTTAGGCTTCATTTTTCCTTCTCTACTACTTGCT